CGCCTCCCTGAACTTCTTGACCACCGCTTCAGCGGAGCTGCCGAAAATCCAGCTTCAAAAAAAGTTGCATGCGATCCTCGCTGGCTGTGCTGATTTAATCTAGTGGTCCAGGTGGGCCCTATGAATGGCTTTGACAGAAGAAAATACTGTAACATCAAAAAATGACACATTTCTCTTTTTGGCTCTCTTTGAATTTTACATGCGGACACTCAGAATGAATCTACAAGCTCTATTCCAAACCCACAATCCACTGCTATTACAGGCCAACTGGACATATAAAAACATAGAGCTCTGAGTATCCAGCCAACTGTCTGCACACATACTGACCAATACCATTTTAAAGCCGCAGGTTCATATTGTATGCCCATCTACAGGTAATATTTTTGCCTATTCAGTTGTGATGCTCTGATTTATATTTTATGAGCAACATCTTTTGACCTGCTGTAGTAAACGCAGTCATAAACCTCTCTGCCCTGCCTCTGCTCTCAATGAGCTGGCACAGCTCGAGCCAAAGCATTTACCAGCTATGCATCAAATTACAGAGGAATTACATTTCAATTGCTTTAACAAGCACTGCAACCCAAACAAACAGAAGAGGAGAGGAGTAAACTGGCTAATAAAGATGCAGGTATGTGTGTCAAATACACTGTAAAAATGAATGTTCAGAAACAAGAGAGTAAATAATATAGTAAATAATACTTTTACGTTTATATACACCCTTAAAATAGCTTTTTTTAAATTTATTATTGGCATCTGTGCTTCCATGAAGACACTTTAACATCCATGGAAACTTTTCATTGCACAAAAGGTTCTTTATTGTTGAAAAAGGTTCTTTAGATCAGTGTTTCCCAACCGGGGTGCTGCGGCTGCCGAAAATTAGTTAACCGCTCAGGATTCACTTTCACGTGGTGTGACGCTCTGCGTATTATCCCGCTCTATGCGTGTGTGTGCTCCACTCAGTCGCTCACGGCCCATGTGAGTGCTCCACTCATATACCGTTCATGCTCATCGGAACAGCAAAGTCCACTCAAAAATTGAGCCGACAGGAAACATCGATGTAGTACAGTATTGTTTCTGTCTGCAATAGCCCTACTGTGCAATAGCCCTAACATGGTGTGGTATATGGGCAACTCTGGTAACTCTGGTAAATATCTTAACCCTACTGTTAGACCTACCTGAAAAACTAAAAAGC